TATGGATTAGACAACATGTTTAAACCTGACATTGTATATGACTTATCAATTTGTTCTTTTTTTAACACAATCACGGTAGGGGTGTTCTTTACGAAATTGAGAGGACAAAAAGTGAATGTCCGACGCTTTAACCGGGTTGTTTGACACGGAGAGTCCACCGAGGGAAGTTGGAACACCCTCATTCCAAACCAATGGTGAACATGGGCTTCAGTATTGTGGAGGAACAAATGGAGTATGAACCAATCATTGGTCATCGGCTACCATGGGACTGCGTGTTCTGACAATGCTCGACTACCTCGTGGACCAGACCTTAAGGTCGAAGGTTCTGTGCGTGACTCCCTAAGAAAACCACCTTCTTCGGCTTGGACACCCGGGCAGTGTCGCAGCCCTCGCACAAATCAAATGAGATTTGTGTGGCACATATGTATTTTGTGTCTCTTTGTACCAATATTTATATGTTCAAATAAATAAATAAATAAAGTGACTCTTGTTAAGTATCTCTCAACGGATATCAGTTAGAAATCGGACGTATTACGTACTAACCCAGACGTCTAGAATATAGCATGCTCAACATGATACCTAAAATCCCTGGATTCAAATCTTCATTTAAGTTTTGATTGTTCATTGCCAAAGCTAAGGGTAGTCTAGTCAAAATTAATCTGTAGTGTAAGATACATATCATAAAAATTAAATTATATAATTAAGAAGCTAATACATAATGAGCAATTGTTCAATTGTAAATAAAGGAATTTAATTGTCCTTATTGTATATGACATGATTAGATTGTATTTCATACGCTAAACTTTACAGATAAACCAAAAGGAGTCGAAAACTTGACTTTTAGGTTCTTGGGTACGAAAAGTAATGAATTACATTTGCATACTGCTCAAAATGTTTAAAATGATAGCGGGAAAATACATTTTGAAGCTGTAAAGTATGAATGGGTGTTAAACGTATGAAATGGCTAATTCTGTCTGTTTAGATTATCTACACCAGGTAAATCGACAGCACCCTTAGATCTAATCCTTAAACTCTTAGTTTGGAAATAAACATTGAACTGATGGCATTACATTTTATTGATGAATTGATCAAATAACTTCACTTGTATTTTTTGAGTGAAATTCATCCACATGTCCGTAGAACATGTTTACATTATAGCTGATGTCAATTAGTGATTAAAACTCCTACTCTAAATCACTAACCTTCACTCGAAATACCTAATTATAACTGGGAACAATATACAGACTCTCAGAATCTGTTTAGGTCCCTATAAGGATTTGAAAAAAAAGCAAAAAAGTACAAGTTTATATGTTGTTGATCTTTTGAATTACATACAGAGTAGCCTGTTACCGTCAGCGTTTTTTAGCGAGTTACTTTTCTACGGGATGGGGTCGCTAACCCCATACCCAACCCTCCCCCTTTATCCAGGCTCAGGACCGGCAGTAGCCCCAGAGGGGCTCCGGGTGGAGTAATGTGTTACCGACATTATTAGATATTCCAATTATTGTAAATTTTTCTGGTTAGCGCTTTTTGGCGAGAGAACAAACCAGCTTCCTGATGAACTGGAAATTAGGAGAGGAAGGAGAAAATGGATAGGACATACTTTACGCAAATCATCAAACTGCATCACGAGACAAGTCCTAACTTGTGATCTTGAAGGGAAGCAGAAGAGAGGAAGGCCAAAGAACACATTACGTCGGGAAATAGAAGCAAACATGAAAAAGATGAATAACAACTGGAAAGAGCTGGAAAGGATTGCTCAGGACAGTGTTGGATGGAGAGTGCTGGTGAACGGCCTATGCTCCTCCAAGAGGAGTAACAGGAGTAAGTAAGTAAGTAATTATTGTAAAATAAGTTCACATTTTGCAATTTCTCTTTTCTTCTCCACAAATTAACCATTTAGGGAAACTGTTTCATTTAACTTGGTTGTATTTTTTTACTTGTTATCAAGCCGGTTCATGTTTCTCACTTAGTGACTATAGTATCACGGAAAACAAGCGAACACTGAACAGATTTTTCGTCTCGTATTCACTTGGTAAAAGAGGAATAATTAAGACTTCACCTAATATTTCTCTAATCATTCAATATAATCTGTATTAATCAATTTTACTACTGAAATGAACAAGCAACACATAATACGAATAACTAATCGGAAACATTTACAACCAGATTTCATTAAATCTGATCAGATTCGATCAAATATTGATGAAGTTGTAATTTTATGATCCCGAACATCAGGAATCCGTTGAATATTAAGTAGATAAATATCAAATGCTGGCTCAGTGGTCTAGTGGTTAAGCGTTCTCGCTCCAGGTAGGTTCTGTTTTCGAATATCCCGAGACAGGATCGTGGGTGCGCATTGCTGAACAGTCCCGTACTATAATGAAACGGCCGTCCGGTGTATCCAGGTTTCCCATGATGATCTAGTTTCAATTGACTCATGATCTCAACTATTAACATTACTAGAATATCCACAAAAAACTCCTCATATTAATCAACATATGCTCACTAATGATTGGATTCAAGAGATATTTTCTGGAGTTCTAATGAGAAGCAGTGACTAGAGGAGTTCAACAGGGTCTGTTGTGAGATAGTAACTGAGTGATGACAATGGCGGATTAATTGAAGTTAGATATTAATAACACTGGATGCCGACCGGCTCAGTGGTATAGAGGTTAAGCGCTCGCGCGCGAGACTACTAGGTTCTGTGTTCGAGTTCCTCGAGATGCGATCGTGGATGCGCACTGTCACTGAAGAGTCCCAAAGTAGGACGAAACGGCCGTCTAGTGCTTCCAGGTTTACCATGGTGGTTTAGCTTCAATTGACTTATGGTCTCAACTATTGAAATTACTATAATATCTATAAAAACCCCTTCTAATATTAACACAGATAAAGTGAACAATGAATGTTCCATAGTCTTTGTTATTTTACATTTATTCATTCTTACTTAATACTTGAAATTTCACATTAATTAAATTATTTTCTATCATTCTATTAACTCCATCTGGAACCTCTCTGTGGCTACAGCTGATCCCAAGTTCAGATAAAAGAAGAGGGTTGGGCATAGAGTTAGAGTACCCTATCCCGTGGTAAACTAGAAAAATCCTTATCATTCTCTATTTGTCTTTCAATTATCTCATAAATTTTTATTGAATAAATAAATAAACAAACAAACTATTTGTAATCTATTTCTGTTTTAACTATTCAACAATCATAAATGAATTAGGGGCGGATATGGTAATTCTGGTTATTTGCTTTGTTTTATTGAAAATCAACAACCAATCATTAATCACTAATCTATTATCAATTTATAGATTAACAAAGTGTTTTTTTTTCGGGGTGGGGGGAGGGAAGGGGAAACCATACCCACTGAATGTATCATTGTTTGTTTATTTTTAGTAGAATTTCATGTTTCTATATTCAATGATTTACCGGTAATATATGTGCTTGTAGTTTCGCATGGGAACTAACTACTCACACACCTATATATACATATATATATATGCCTATATATGTGAATTTATAGCATCTGATTAAATCAGTCTTTGATTTCAGTTGATAATTCAATCATAATAGTTGGAAATAGGTTCTCCGTGTTTATTTGATCTTTTCTTCTCTTTTTTTTTATACTAGAGATAAGGAGTCATGAAAATTGAGTATGGTGTAGTATCTAAATTGAATGAGATGAACAGTATTATTCTGTTCAATAAATAACCCCCAATCGATTAAATAAATCAACAAAAAAATTATCCTATTTTCATATTTAGTTTACTAAACAACCTGGAAAATTGTTATAAGTCATGATCATTATATGCTTAATTACTCCAATTCTTATCAGTATTAAACGTGACTATTAAAATAGTGAACTTATATTCAATTTTCCTGTATCTATTCATACAGAGAATTTAGGAACTGCACGCACTCAAAAATTCATAAATTTCAATAGTTGATATCATGAGTAAATTGAATCTAGACCACTATGGAAAACCTGAAAGCAATGGATGACCGTTTCGTCCCATCGTCGGACTCCTCAGTGGCAGTGAGCATCCATGATATCGTCTCGCCAGATTCGAATATAGGACCTATCAGTGTCGCGCACGAACACTCAACATCGAAACCACTAAGGTGATATCCAACACTGTTAATATCTAAACTCAACTGATCCACGAGATTGAGCGACACATACACCACTGTCACCACTCAGTTACTATCTCACAACAGACCCTGTTGAACTCCTCTAGTCACTGCTTCTCATTAGAACTCCAGAAAATACCTCTTGAATCCAATCATTAGTGAGCATATGTTGATTAATATGAGAAGGAGTTTTTTGTGGATATTCTAGTAATGTTAATAGTTGAGATCATGAGTCAATTGAAGCTAGACCACGAAGGAAAACTTGGAAGCACTGGACGGTCGTTTTGTCTTATTATGAAACTCTTCAGTGGTGGTGCGCACCCACGGGTCCGTCTCACGGGATTCGAACCTACGACCTATCAGTTTCGTGCTTCCAGGTTTTACCTGGTGGTCTGGCTTCAACTGACTGATGATCTTAACTATTAAAATTGCTATAATATCCACAAAACCCCTTCTGATACTAATTCATAAATTCTTCGATAGATTATTACAAGTATAGAGTTATGGAGATTATTACGTATTTGATTGAATTCATGAATCAATTGGTGTTAGATCACCATTAAAAACCTGGAAGCATTGGATGGCCGTCTCGTCCTGCTAAGGAGTACCACAATAGGACGAAACGGCTGTCCAGTGCTTCCAGGTTTTCAATCATGTTCTGACATCAAAATCTGCAGTCTCACACGTTACAACAACTGGCAACGGGGTATTGAAAATTTTGAACCCTCTAATTGGACGAGATTCAGCATAATTATTTTGACCAATCAGTATCCAGATTCGACATCGGCGTCCTTGGGAGTCATTGGTTGTTAATTGATCACAGTATTTCTCATTACCCTGCTGATTCAGAAAATGACTATCCTTCCCGATCAACTGCAGTTACTACTTGACCACCAACAGCAGCGTTTCAGAAAGAGCCAGTTGAATGTTTTGGACAATTTACGCACACGACTGCTAGATCTCCCATGTTTCGGAGATGTGACAGAAATTGATGAAGTAATTTCTCACTTGCATACTGAACTCGAAAATGCGGTATGAATGTGCCAATAAAAGCCTCTATGAATCCCTGACAAGCAGTAATGCAAACGAGGCAGTCGCTCATGATCCGTCCAGCGATCCAGAAATGTCCAATTCAGAAACATACCCTGTCGTGGGTTCAAATCCCACTGTGCCCGAAACATGTACAGACAGTGAGGCATCCAGCTCAAAAGAAGAACCCCTGGTGCCAGAAAATATGTCACATGCATCAAATAATAGTCAAGAACCTGGTGCAGTTTTGTCGCACGCTGACTATCCCAGTGATCAACTATCTACTAATAAGATTTTCAAGAATTTCGACGACAATGCTCCAGAAGATTCAAACTCTGATGACTTCGAATTGAATGGCGTTTTTCCTCACGATCCGGTCACTCTTACTGGATTCCTTGTTCCATATGATGTAAATGCAGTCAAATTAATTGTAACTTCGGGATATGAAGACTCAACAATATTTCGCGGGGTTGGACGGACGTGGAGAATTTTAAAATCCGGATATCAACTCCGGATCTCCAAAAAAGGGAGGTGTTAGGATGTTCAGAGAGATATACCAATAATTATCATGTTAAGTCTAATGGTGGCCTTGGACTTTAAATGTACACTCCCTATTGGTCGATATTTATTTGACTTGTTGAATATTGTGTAAATGTTGTTTTCTATTTTATGGTACGATGTGGTCTGGTTGATTGGTATATAAATAGAGTATGTCTGAAATATAATGATTCATATCTCAGAGGCTGAGACTTGTGTTCTGGACTCAACTGGCTGGGCTAGACAGCGAAGCAGGGCCAATTGCGACTCTAGGTCGTTCATTACGTGTTTTACGTGTCACTGAATCGATCAATAAAACGCTGCGCATCTAACCTGCAGTCCACACGTTACATCACAAACCAAAGCAGGTAGTTATCTCAGAGAGAGCTACTCCCGGAAATATCGACATGAAGGTCTGATCCACAAGGCAGTGGAGCAACTTCACAAGATGCAGTCCAATGGTAGCGGATGATCACGATTGGTTTATACGCCATTTTTTCCTTCAAGATCCTGGAGCCTATGTGCATCATTGGCTTAGAATGAGGGTGTTGCAACTCCCTTAGGTGAACATTTCGTGTCCACCACCCCGGTTAAAGCGTCGGATATTCGCTTTTCACCCTGTCATTGATAAGGATTGTTTTATTATTTGCTTATATGCGAGTCAAACTCTAATTATTCTTCTACATAATTGATATTTGTTGTTTCACATTAATTTGTTCGCATGCGGCATTATTGGAGGTGACTCCTGTAACCATCTGACATTATATCATATGCACACAGTTACATAACATTTGATATTCAATGGTCAGATTAAATCACTCTTTTTAATTATGAATTTCTTTCGCCATAAGTATTCATTGATGAGTGTGGTGTAGTAGTTTGAGCTAATATCATTTTGACTAACATGGATGCTAGTCTTAAGTTTCCCACATACATTACAGTAATTAAAACAACATATATAACTGAACAATATTGCTTTCAATTAGACTGTTATCAGACTTTAATCTAATATATATTTTATTAAAAATGATTAAACCAATCAAAACAGTTTATAATACAAAGATCACAATAAAAAGTGGAAATTGATAGTGAAAAGACAGATTTCCCTTCAACAGTTCTGAAGAGGGTTCAATTTCATCACCTTTCCTATTGCTTTGTGATACTCTTATCCCTTTCTAGGTTGGATGATTACACCGTTTTTCCCGACCTATATTTAGTCGTCATTCTTCACATTTGGTTGACGTTAGACATTAACACCGCCGGATGCCGGTCGGATCAGTGGTGTCGGGATTAAACGTTTGCGCGCCAGACTGATAGGTCCTGAGTTTGAATCTCGCGAGACGGGATCGTGAGTGCATACTGCCATCGAGGAGCCTCACAGTAAGACGAAACGACCGTCCAGTGCTTCCAAGTTTTCCTTCGTGGTCTAGCTTCAATTGACTCATGATCTCAACTATTAACATTACTAGAATATCCACAAAAAACTCCTTCTCATATTAATCAACATATGCTCACTAATGATTGGATTCAAGAGGTATTTTCTGGAGTTCTAATGAGAAGCAGTGACTAGAGGAGTTCAACAGGGTCTGTTGTGAGATAGTAACTGAGTGGTGACAGTGGTGTATGTGTCGCTCAATCTCGTGGATCAGTTGAGTTTAGATATTAACAGTGTTGGATATCACCTTAGTGGTTTCGATGTTGAGTGTTCGTGAGCGACACTGATAGGTCCTATATTCGAATCTGGCGAGACGATATCATGGATGCTCACTGCCACTGAGGAGTCCGACGATGGGACGAAACGGTCATCCATTGCTTTCAGGTTTTCCATAGTGGTCTAGATTCAATTTACTCATGATATCAACTATTGAAATAATTTTAATTATTACCCAGTGATTAGTTTAATGTTCATTTATTGAAGTTTGACCTACTTCGTGTGCCAAACCATTGATTATAGCTTACATCATTTTGTTATTCTCATCCTTATTAATAGTATACCCATCTTCTTACTATCTATTTATGCTTTTTACCGATTACGTATCTATTTCATTATAATTGCTGATTCATGATTTACCTTAACCAGTTTAATAATTTCATATTAAGATTCATTTATATTAAAATAAAGCCTAATGCAAATCTGATTGAAGGTAATATTGTTCTGTTATCTATTATGTTCAATAAGCAACAGTTTGAAAAGGAATTATGAAGAGGAATAACTACTAAAAGCGTTTAACAAGTATCAAACTAATTCTGTTCAATCTATTTTTATTAGTAATTGCTCAATAGCTGTGAAATAAATCTGTGTATAGACAAATGATTTACTCATATACTACGAATTACGGTCATTTAATGTTGTCAATTAATTGAAGTCCAGTATTTTATGGACTGAACACTACCGTAGTAGTAGTAGTAGTAGTAGTAGTGCTAATAGTAGTAGTAGTAGTAGTAGTAGTAGTAGTAGTAGTAGTAGTAGTGCTAATAGTAGTAGTAGTAGTATTAAGTTAATGATATGAGACTAACGGGTTGAATACTTGATTGAATATTTGGTATTCGATTCCGATCATGAACCGAATGATGTTAGACTACTACTGAGAACCGAGAAGAACCGGACAGCCACTTTGTCCTTTTATGGGACTCCCCAATGACAGTGCGCATCCATGATCCCATTTCGAGAGATGAGGACACAGAATCTATCAGTCTCGCACGCGAACGCCTAACCTCTACATTACTGAGCTAGCCGACATCCAACTGTGTTGCTATCTAACATCAATTAATCCACGAAATTGAGCGACCCACCCACCATTGTCATCAGTCAGTTACTATCTAACAACAGACTCGGTTGAACTCCACTAGTCACTGTTTCTCACTAGAACACCAGGAAATAACTCTTGAAGCCAATCACTAATGTGCATATTATGATTATCATCAATGAGGGGTTTTTATAGATCTTATTAGTATATTCAATAATTGAATTCATGAATCATAATAAGATTAATATAAATGAAATTCATATTTGTAATTATTTAACTGAATGTTCAATTGTACATTATTGATAATTGAATTTAAAATTTAAAAAATGTCATTATATTAATCTTTTGATTATTCTAATGAAAATTATTTAGGCTTATTAATATACATAAACAATTACGGATATTAGTATAAGTAGTATTAATATTAGTAGTATATATGTTAGCATTATTATTATTATTATTGATTAATTAATACTTTAAGGTGTTCAACATTCAACTATCCACAACTTCTAGTTGACTCTTTGTTTTAATAATAAGAGTAATTGTTTACTATTCAATGAATTGATTACTGAGATTACTATTACTATGACTATGATTATTATTATCATAATTATTATCATCATCATCATCATTGTAATTGTTTTGTTTGTTTGTTTGTTTCAATGCGTTATTTGTTATTGTGTAAAGCAGAAATATTAAAACAAAAAAGAAGAAACGAAAGAGTTTTGTTTCAGGAAACAGAAATGTTCAATCATTTCTCATTGAATTTCACTGTCTCTATTCTTTTTCTATTTTGTTAATTCGATATTTTTGTTGTTTATGTTTTCGATTCAATCTATTTCACGTTCTCTGTTGTTGTTGTTGTTGTTGTATGACTTGAAAATGTTTTCATAGTGAATAATGTTGTTTGTATTGTTTCTCTTCAATGTAACAAACTATTAAGTGAAACAGGTTGTAAAAACTAGTTTAGTTTAATAGGAATTTGTCTCTTGTATCATCATCATCATCATCATCATCATCATCATCATCATCATCATCATCATCATCATCATCATCATCATCATCATCATCATCATCATCATCATCATCATCATCATCATCATCATCATCATCATCATCATCATCATCATCATCATCATCATCATCATCATCATCATCATCATCATCATCATCATCATCATCATCATCATCATCATCATCATCATCATCATCATCATCATCATCATCATCATCATCATCATCATCATCATCATCATCATCATCATCATCATCATCATCATCATCATCATCATCATCATCATCATCATCATCATCATCATCATCATCATCATCATCATCATCATCATCATCATCATCATCATCATCATCATCATCATCATCATCATCATCATCATCATCATCATCATCATCATCATCATCATCATCATCATCATCATCATCATCATCATCATCATCATCATCATCATCATCATCATCATCATCATCATCATCATCATCATCATCATCATCATCATCATCATCATCATCATCATCATCATCATCATCATCATCATCATCATCATCATCATCATCATCATCATCATCATCATCATCATCATCATCATCATCATCATCATCATCATCATCATCATCATCATCATCATCATCATCATCATCATCATCATCATCATCATCATCATCATCATCATCATTATCATCAATGGTAGTTGAGTTTGATTAGTGTCTCACATAAAATACGTATCTTCTGTGATATTAGACGGTTGTCAACTCATATAGACAATAGTTTGATTTACGTATGTAGATTGTTAGATTCCAATCTATCTATTTAAAGATAAAGCGTTCAGTGTCAGCCTAAAATATTGTAGACTCTAATATATATAAGGTTTTAGATGTTCATTGTTGATATGTTAGTTCACTTATTCATTAGTAACATCATTAAAAACAATGAATAAAGTTATCCAGTCTTAACGTATGTTAGATTCACAGTTTTAATCAGTGTAAGTTTGACCGAGATTTCTTAGTTTTTAAATAATAGGGTCTTGGAAACGAACAGTAGTGGGTTCGAGTTCTGGAGTGATTATCAACACTGCGATGCAAATAAATCCAGCTGACGAGTCAGAAATAGGACGAAACATACATCCTGGACTCCATTGCTAGCCGTTATCCATCTTTTCCTATAAAACTTGTGACTTAAAGGAATATAAAGTCAATCTGCATAGGATGGACAAATGCCAATTCCAGTCCTGAACAATGAGGGAGACATTCAAATAAACAATGCCAAGTGAATTTAATAAGTTCCTTGTTTTTCAAAAAATATAAGTCATGTGTAACTATTTTAAAGTTATTTATTAAAATGTGAATATTTTACAAGTGGATTCGAAGTATAAATTCAACTATACCACTTGTAAACAATGAAAAAGTAGTCAAATCACATGTCATTCATTCATCAATATGAATTATTAGATGAAATGATAATTCCTATTTAAAAGAATGAAAATTAGTGATCTGAAAGGAGAAGGTAATTTAATGAATGTATTCATAGTTTGAAGCTGATTTTTTGGTAGAGATTATGAATCGATTGATGTCGAACCATTGAAAACCTGGACTGAAAAGATAGACTATCATGGAAAACCTGGATGGCCATTTCGTCTTACTGTGGGACTTCTCAGCAGTGAGAATCTACAAGCCCACCCCACACGAGACCGATAGGTCCTCGGTTCGAATCTTGCGAGACGGGATCTTGTACGCACACTACTGATCAGTCCCATAGTAGGACGAAACGGCCGTCCAGTGCTTTCAGGTTCTCGATGGTGGTCTAACTTCAATTGACTCATAATCTCAACTATTGAACTAATAATAATATTAATAGTAGCAGTGTAATGAACAAGAACACGAGTTAGAACAATCAAACACAATTAAATATGGAACTACAAAACATTTTACTAAAATCCTAGAACTATACAGTAAATACTTAATTTGCAAAATATTAATCAATGGTCTAAAACTTGACTGTTCCTTTTGCAGAGTGTCAATCAATCATCTCAGATTTCATTTCTATTGAATTTTCATATCAATTGCTTTCTATTTCCGTTCTTTCCTACCGAAATACATACCATTCCTGACTATTGTTGTATGCTACTTATGTGAATATAAGTAGTTCACAACACAGTAGTAGTGTAGCGAACAAGACATTCCTGACTCGCATAATATGCTACTTATATCAATATAAGTAGCACGCACCACAGTATTAGTAATAACAATAATAATAATAGTAATAATAGTAATACTAATAATAGTAATAGTAATGGTGATGATAGTAATAATACTAATAATAGTAAAGATACTGTATCGTTTTTTTATGCACCAATAACCTTAACCATGAACATGATATAAATCGTTTTATTAAGAATAATAATAATATTTAAGGAATATAATTATCATTTATGTTTCAATGAAACGCTTCTTATTCGACCTTAAATTGTTTTAATCAAATCCTGTTCAATTATAATAATAATAAGTAGTAATTATAATTAATTGATCATTTATTAGTTGAAAACCATTATTCAATAATGAATAGAAACAAAAAGGTTTTTATATGATTATCATTAATGGAATTAATAAGTATAGATATTTAATCTGATATTCATAATGATTGTTAGATGGTGTTTTGGGACTGAATTTGAGGTGCTAGTTAGAGTGGTCTGTTGAGTGGAGTTGACGTCGAATGAAGTGTTCTGAAGGGGTGGTATTAGATGTAGCAGTTGCTGTCGACGGAGAGGAGAGTAGGACATCCAGCTGCTGAGTGAACACCGGATTTAGATGGTTCAGCAGGTCGCTGGAGCGCAGGTGTTGAATGTCCTAAATGCTCGATAAACACCGGATTTTGGTGGCCCGTCAGATCGATGGAGCCATGGAGGTCAATGCGCTGCAGGCTCAACATTTTAACGAAGAGCGTAATACAGACTGCAGAGAAGAAGAAAGTAGTATGACAAGCAGAACCACCTCAAGGACGACTGCTTCAAAGGGGGGGGTGAGTGTGGTGTGTGCTATAGATATAAGTAGTATTTACCATCAATTGAAAGTGAAATTTCTGACGGTAGAAGGTGAAGAAGATCAAAGAAAAGAGAACGAGAACAAAGAATGATTGGTGTGGAAACCAAAGAATAATGAAATCTGAGATGATAGATTGATATTTGATATATATATAGCTCAATTAGCTAACTTATCAGCGTTTCATTTTGTTAAGTTTTTTCACTGTTCATAAATTACCATTCTGCATTTAATATTGTGCTATCTAGATCTTTAATTGAAATAGATTACACTGATATGGTGATCAATTCGTCCATACATGATAGTCTTACCGAATTCTTTATGTAACACTCTTACAAACAATGCTATTGATGCAAAATATTATCTCTGTTCTTTGATGAATGTTTTATTACTAACAGCATTTACAACCCGGTTTATTTATATGTCTCTACTTCATTGAAAATGTATGACGAATGACTTTGTATTAGTACGTAAATAGAAGGATAGAAAAGATTGATATCAATATTGGTTATGCAGATTAAGTTTTTGATTGAGATCATTAATCGATTGATGTCAGATCATCATGGAAAACACAGAAGCATTGGACAGCTGTTTTGTCCTAGTTTGGGACTTCTCAGCATAGATAAATGGTTGCGCAGCCATTCATAAATCGATGGAAGTTAGACATTAACACCTTTAGATGCCGTTTTGATGGTTTAGAGGTCAAGTGTTCGAGCATGAGACCGGAGGTCCTGTTCGAGTACCACGTGCGGAATCATGGATGCGCACTGGTGAGGAATCCCATACTAGAAGAAAAGATTGTACCATAAAGTGATTCAAGATGGTAAGTATCTTTTCTATCGTTACACCATATAACTGTAAATACGAATATACAGCTTAGGTAAATGATTTCGTAGAAATGAAAATTCTCTTTACTTTCATTCAACGACACAATGGATAATTTAAATAATTTAAATAAATAGGCATACATATTATGCGTTCACTATATATAATGATTGGAAACAATCACATCGACTTGAACATAGTTGATGTACAGGAAAAATATGAAATCAAGAATCCGATCCAGACAGTTAGTCAGTTACAACGTAGGACCAGACACATATATGAATCGGTCCAAGTTGCCACACCTTACTCATTAGCACAATAAGATGAACACCGAATTCATAGAAGTGGCTAATTTATTGGTGGTAATATATAAAAGAAAGATTGCATATAAGGACATGAAACAGGAAGAAACAATTAGTTTGTAGAAAGAAAGATATAAGGCAATTTTAATCTCATAGCCCAAGGGAAGATAGAAAGTGTATATACCGACGCCATTGTGACCGATTCTGAGTCATGTCACACAGTCTCCAACCATTCGTTATGATAGTCACGCGGACCCTAACCAAGCAGTTCGCATCTACCAACATGACTCAGACCAGAAGTCAGTGACTTCAAGTACTGATGCCACGTTTTTGTGTGGCCACCTTTAATTTTCTTCCAACCATCCCCAACACTAGTCAGCATTGTGCGTCATGGTAATCCGTGTTCAGGCATACGTAACACGTAGTCCAACAATCTCAGTCGAGGAACATTCACAACCTCATCAACTGATTTTCCATCATTCGCTAATACCCTGTGTCAAACCTCACAATTGTTTACCCGGTGATTCCAGCAGACGCAAACAATATTTCTAAGACATCTACGATCAAATACTAGTAGCTTAGGAGTATCTCTGACTCTTACTGGCCACGTTTCATAGCCGTAAAGTAGAACACAACAAACTGCCGTGCAGTATACTCGTCCCTTAATTGATAGACATATATCTCGCCTCCGCCATAGATGACGTAAGTTGGCAAAGGCAAAACAATCATTTCGAATCCTTGCAGAGATTTCGTCAGACACCAACCCATTAGTGCTAATCAGACTTCCAAGATAAGTGAAGTTATCAATGCGTTCAACTAGTTCACTCCCTATCCTTAGTTCAAATATTGACGCAAACCAATCTTAAAGCAACAACTTGCATTCACAGAGGGGGGAGAGAGAAGAATCCGATTACATAATTCATTTAGAATATCTAGACGTATTTAAATGATTCCATTCTATTTTCATTTTATATAATTGAGACAGTCAGCGAGAAAAGAATTGTGTGATATTGCTAATTCATTAAACATTGTGTGATTTCATTAATTTGATGTAATTAATAATAGAGAATGAAGGAAAAAAAACTAGAAGGGAGAAGAATGAATGAATCATTAAATAAACCTAAATCGTGGAAGAACAATGATTGAAATATTATTGTTTGGTACATTACGTGCAATCAGTCAATAAATATTGATATTTAAGAAATATTATCAGAAGGGGTTTTGTGGAGATTTAAGAAATTTCACTGATTGAAATCATGAGTCAATTGAAGCTAGACCACCATGGAAAACCTGGAAGCACTCGACGGCCTTTTCGTTCTAGTATGGGACTCCTTAGTAATGCTCATTCACGATACTTCACTAGGGATTCGAACCCAGGACCTATCAGTCTCGCGCCAGGCGCTTGACCAACGAGACCACCCGCAGGGTGCGGAATCGTGAATGTGCACTGTTTAGGGGTCCCATACTAGAACAAAAAGGCCGTCTAGTGCTTCCAGGTTTTCCATGGTTGTCTAGCTTTAATTGATTCATGATCTGAACCATTGAAATTACTACAATCTCCACAAAACGCTCTTCTAATCATATCAGTTCATTATGAATACACTTCACTGATATTAGTTAGATAACCATTAGAAATTGGAATAAACAACACTGATAAGTTACATGATTCTAATGTGGGACTGATCTTCAATGTGGATCTACAACCCAAATATGGATAACATTTACAATCTCTATGTAAATGATATGGATTCGATTGATCTATATAGAATGTGCTATAATGCATGAGCCACATCTATGGATATAATCAGATGAATGGGTTTTCATAGAGGTGATGTTATATTTTGAAGAAGGAATACATGATTAAATACGTTCCGAAATGTATAAACTTCATATGAACACAACACTTATTCGGATTTTGTTAACATTCATTAACAGACATTCGCTTTCAACTCTCTTAGTATAAATTGACTCACATCGGGGAATTTTCAGCTGAAATTCCTCAATTTACTATCATTTCATTAAACTGAAGTTTCAGTGTATATGAATTGTGAAACATAATTACGTTGATGAGATTGTACATATAATAGTTCTAATGATTCTGTTTAACTGAACTGAGGATATTTATTCACTAAATGAAATAAAGTTTTTTTTAGAATATAGGAGTTTGATTATATAGGATTCTGATATCCAAGCAGTCAGTTGCAGACAGAATAGCTCCTGGCACAAATATACATAACCCTATGTTTGTAGGCCATCTAGGCTGTTGACGTTTCCAAACCTGATCAACCTAAAATGTTTTATTGCATTGAACATTTAATATTGAGTGAAACTATTAATATTTCCTAAGAACCCTATTCCTTATCTCAGTATTTTCCTTCTAGTCAATCCACGAAACTGTAGTCATTTATGATCAAAAACACTCAGCCAATTCATGACTTCTATTTCATCGGCTATGTTTTACGGCCGTAGTTTACTGTCCTATAACTTAGCTAGCAATTAAGATGAACATATCATCCTGCAGGTGATGCAAGTTGGTGAAATTCAACAGAATCATGGATGTGCACTGCCATTGAGGAATCGCACTATACGACGAAACGGCCGTCTAGTGTTTTTAGGTTTTCAGTGGTGGTCTAACATCAATCGATTCATGATCCCGATAAAAAAACTTAATAATCTCCCGAATCCTATACTGAGAATTTCTTAATTGTAATTCTACTAATATTTAGGAACTAATTAATCAACTTATGTTACCAATACAAATGTTCATTCACTAATTCTATCGAGATTGTTAACAATTAATATTGTATTGTATTGACGTATTAGATATAGACGTGTTGCTTACTTGTATCTTTCAATTAATGTTTAGGACTGCAACTGATCGGTCTCTTTTTGGCATATGTTCATCCTGTGTGGGCTGCCTCGATATAGCCTCAAGTCGCAAGCTGCTAGTTCACTGCTAGCCACTATCCATCTTTGCTTAAAAAGCTTGTGACCTCAGGCAAAATCGAGACATTCCACACAGGATGCACATATGCCAATAACAGACTGATCAACTGCAGTCCTAAATAACAAAGGGAAGACACAAGTAAACAACACCGAGTGAATATAACTTCACCCCGTTGCACAAGTAAGTGGCTATGATGACTCAGTAGCTGACTGGATGATACGGTAGAATTTGAAGCGTACGGTACTATGTTCGAGTCCTGGAATGAACATCAAATCTGTGGTGCAAGTACATCCAGCTGACGAGTTCTGAATAGGACGAAACGCGCGCCAAACTGAATTGCAGTGTTAGCCGCTATCCATCTTTACTTATAAATTTAATGTTCCATTTAATACGTCAAGTAAGTATAATCAGTTGATAAGTCTTATAAATTGCTTACCAAAACACGTGATCTATATATTCCTCATAGTTATGATCTTTGGTAAGGTTCAACTACATAATACAAACTAGAAACATTCTTTTTACAGGCGTTTACTTAATAATAACAAAAATAATTTCATATATATTGATGTATTGGTGAAATTCTATAAGATAATGTACTCTTCTATCAAAGAACTAATCCATGACCTGATAAGGTATACAAATTTATATGAATAATTTCATAATATTTTATATCATACAATTTTCTTTTTTTCTTTTTTTCTTTCTGTTACTAAGTGGATATCAACTGCATCACAAGGCAATCCCTCAATTAAAGTCTTCAAAGCCAAATAAAGGAGAAGAGGGAGATCAAAGACTACATTACACCGACAAACGGAGACAGATATATCCTAGAGAGACCTAGGAGAGAGTGGGTTGTAGAATGCTGGTCGGAAACCTATGCTCCATTGGGAGTAACGGGCGTAAGTAGTTAAGTAAGTGAGTAAATATCGAAGTGAAAAGATACAGTATTGATTAATGAATACCTAGGTGATTATTTAACATTGAGTATATGTTTTAATCAATAAATTGAATATAATCAATCATGATGTTTAGTTGAGAGCATTTATTTCCATAATAATTCCTTACAAAATATGAAGGGATTGTATAGATTTCATAGTTTATATAGATATGAATTTGCTAGTTTACTAGGATATAGATTGTAAAAATCATTGAATTTACAAATTCCTTTTGTGAATAACTACGAAAACCTGGGCGACGTAGGAAAACTATTTTATCACAGTGCCGAACTCTTCAGTGAGTGTGTTCATGACCACCTCCCTTCATCTTCAGAGATAAAAACCAGGACCTTCAGATCTTACAGCAAACATTCAAGATTTAATCTATTGACTGACCATTCAACTGTTTGCACTTCATACATGTCTACCATGCATTTCATAAATGATACTTATTTAAAATCCAATATAATACTGAACATAACTCCGCGCGGAGCCCCTCTTGGGCCAATGCCTGTCTCAATCACGGATAAAGGAGGAGGCTTGGGCATGGGATTGACGACCCCATCCCGTAGAAAACTAACGAGCGAAGAATAATATCGAATATACAGCTTCATCTTTTATTCATCTTCATATAATGTAGTGAGTATAAAAAACAGAGAGTAAAAATAATTGTCATGGTTACTTGAAGGTTTTTGGTTCATACATTTGTATTAGCAAAATACACTTCTCATGTACCTAAGTAAGATAATTTTCAATACACAATTAAACAATCTATCTACACTTCATTGACTAACTATAATATTGTTACTTGTCAAAGATTAATAATAAACACAATTATTTACATAATATTTCCATTGATAACGTTTTACTTCATACTCTATTCAAAGACTTATTCAATTGAATCATAACTAAAATACTACTGTTTGTTAAGCAGATCAGTTAGACACTTTCATTTACCTAGATACATCTGATTAGTATCCTATTGTATGTACTGGATAGAGTTTATTAGTATCTAAGCATAGAATATTGTTCTTCTAATCATACACATTCTATAGTAGTAATCATGGATAATACTTGCTATAATATTAATAAAAGCTTTAATTGAAAATCATTATAAACTAAGTAAATGTATAAACATTAAATATATTACAAATACTCTTTATCATTTTATTAATACATAACGATAACAAATAGGAAACCATTCATGCCTAATTAATTATAATAAGCAATAGTTAAAAATTAATATCATGATGACAGCGTTATTGTAATTATCGTTATTATTGTTAGTAGTATTAGTATTACAATAAGTAGTAGTATCAGTAGTAGTAGTAGTAGCAGTAGTAGTAGTATTGGTAGTAGTAGTAGTAGTAGTAGTAGTAGCAGTAGTAGTAGTAGTATTGGTATTAGTAGTAGTAGTAGTAGTAGTAGTAGTAGTAGTAGTAGTAGTAGTAGCAGTAGTAGTAGTATTGGTAGTAGTAGTAGTAGTAGTAGTAGTAGTAGTATTGGTAGTAGTAGTAGTAGTAGTAGTAGTAGTAGTAGTAGTAGTAGTAGTAGTAGTAGTAGTAGTAGTAGTAGTAGTAGTATTGGTAGTAGTAGTAGTAGTAGTAGTATTGGTAGTAGTAGTAGTAGTAGTAGCAGTAGTAGTAGTATTGGTAGTAGTAGTAGTAGTAGTAGTAGTAGTAGTAGTAGTAGTAGTAGTAGTAGTAGTAGTAGTAGTAGTAGTAGTAGTAGTAGTAGTAGTAGTCAATAATAAATTATGTGGGGACAACCGAATATATTTGAACACGAAATTACAGAAAATCCTACGAAAATCTGAGATCCATGCAGTAATTACTTCACTTGCAAAATATCAATCAATCTTATCAAACTCGACTCTTTCTTTTGCAAATATCAGTTCATCGTCTCAGATTTCATTGTTCCTGCATTTTCATACTAATTACTTTCCGTTCCCGTGTAGTGTGTGCTACTGATGTCAACATATATAAGTAGTATGCATAACCAACAGATGTCTATTTTCTATTTTACGGTGTGATGTAGTCTGTTTGGTTTTTATGTAAACCCAGTATGTCTGAAATAAATGATTCATATCGTAGAGGCTGAGATTAGTGATCTGCACTCAACAAGCAGGGCTAGGATGGAAGGAGAGTCGATATAGACACTGGATAGGCGCTATGATGTTAATCTACAATATAAATATCAACTAAAACACTTTATATGACAAAGCGGACTCAATTAAGATTTCAAAGATTAAATAAGAAATATGAAAAGGTTAACATTTTATGCTCGATCTCCCTATGTAAGTCCAAGTCTGTGGATTTCATATTGGGAAATCCATGGGATGGACAGAAGATATAACTAAACAACGTACTTCAAAGTTGTGTTAATTTAACATCGTGATTAAAAGGTATCGTTCACTCGCATCTGAGCGACACCACACGAATTTTAAAGTTAGTTAACCGGTGAAAATAATCAAAATCCTCGTGTGATATCCCAACTTTACCACCATAATTAAACGGTTTAAATTAAGTTACTGTAAACATTGAAGTTGGTAATGTTCTGCTGATCTCTCACATCGTTGCTAAACATTCCCTCATTCAATGATGTTGAAAATTCAGCCAGTAACTTATTTTTTGATGGAGACGCTTTTGGAGATCACCTTCTTCACATACTGACCTCAGTCAACTTATAAGTGAAAAACAGGGAAAAAGCTTATTCATCGTATGCTGAGAATACTCAAACATATGATGCTATCGGAGAACGAGATCGAGACCTCCAGATCTCATGGTGAGTGCCTAACTAGTAGACCACTGAGTAGTCATCCTGTCATACACATTTCGTCTTTATTTACTTCCTGATATAAAACAACAAATATCCACTATCTCTAATGATGACTGTATCAGACTGCATAGTTCTAGTCATCATGACTCCCTCTTGTTTCAGTTATCCACTTTAGCACTGTGGTTAAGTGTTCCTTCTCTTTTCTGCATGAACAATCACCAGTAGTTCCTGATCGTTGACTTTGTACAGATTCTATTTAATCCATACATCATAGCTATCACAGAAATTGAACTCATTCAAACATAAAAATAACTCTGAATGTACATCCATACTAGGACGAAACGACCGTCCAGTACTTCTAGGTTTCCCATGGTGGTCTAGCTTCAATTGACTCATGATCTCACTTATTGAAATTTCTTAAATCTCCACAAATCCTCTTCTGATAATAATCATCTGCTCACTATTGACTGACTTCAAGAGGTATTTCCTGGAGTTCTAGTGAGAAGCTGTGACCGGTGGAGTTCAACCAGGTCTGTTGTGAGATATCAGCTCACTAAAGACAATGGTGTACGGTGGCGCGACTTCGTGGATTGGTTGAAGTTAGGCATTAACACCGTTGGATGCCGGCTTGCTCAATGGTCTAGATGTTAAGCGCTCGCGCATGAGACTGATATTTCCTGGGTTCGAATCTCGCGGGTGGCGGGATCGTTGTTGAGTACTGCCGAGGAATCCCAGTGGTTTCAGGTTTTCCATAGTGTTCTAGCTTCAATTGACTCATGATTTCAACTACTGAAATCTCTAAAATCTCCACAAAAGCCTTTGTGATAGTGAAAAAATGCTTGTTGCTACCCAATTAATAAATCACGGTTTTTTAACTTTTTCCAACTTTTTATTTAACAAAAACTATCATCATCGGATTAGTATGAAATGAAATAGAATAATAATGGCTATGAACAACCAGTAAATTTTTCTGGTGAGACTATCATTTATGGATCACCTTTGAGCGACGCTTGAGATTGTCTTCCTACATACTACGGCGAAATGAAGTCTATAAACCAGTGTTTAAGGAATTCGAATTATGATTTACAATTGATAGTTAAGGTTGGGAATTAGATTTCGAGTTTTCATCACGAATTGACATCACTTATAATGCTAAATGGATGAATAAATTTCACACCAAAATTCAAGATCTATTCCCTTAAATCTGATTGATTCATTCAGAAATTGTACTCCCACTATGGGAAAATTATCTATTCTGTATTATTACAGTTGAAATCATAAAATGAATCATAACCTGATTATCACTATATTATTAAGAAGCATCGATGATTTCATTAAGGTCAATAAAAATATCAAACGTTTCATTCATTTCCGTATCACTCTTTTTTTTAAAAATTTTGTTTTAACTTATTACTCTCATATACCATAGAAACATTTAGTTGCTTAGATGATTGTCTCTTTTCATAATGAATTGTTTCTTAGATAATATTCAATCATGTTTTTTCTCTCTTTTTCTCTCTCTGGTTCTGTATACAAAGGGACACAGAGAGAGAGAGAGAGAGAGGAAAAAAGGGAAATAAAAAAGAAACAGAAGAGAATCTATTCAAATTTCAGAATAGATAAATAACCAAATAAATTGGTGACCTTAAATGGATAATCTTCCTTCCCTTTTTTTCTTCTTCTTCTTCTTCCTCTTTCTTCCTGAATATGAAATTAGTTTAATTCAATTAGTTTTAACAACAACAACAACGACAAGAAAATTAGAGAAAAATTTAAAAAATTTAAAAAAAAAACATTTAAATGACGTCTACAAAATGTTTCAATTTGTTTTTTCTCTTTTTTTTCTCTTTTTTCTTTTCTTTTTTTTCATTTTTTTTGTAAAAAAATACCAAAAAAAATTATCAAATTTATATGATCAATTTACTTATTTATTTATTTATTTATTTATTTATTAATAAGTTTAGATTTAATATAAATAAAGGTCATTAATGATTGAATGATTATGTTTGTCAATAAAATGTAAAATGATCGGTCTTATTTGCTTGTTTGTTTGCTTGTTTTAAGTTTACTTTACATAAATCAGAAAAGTAAAATGAATGAAACATAAATAAATGAACATTACACTGTTTGGTTTCTGTTTTCTATCAACAAAAAAGAAGAGGAGAAGAGATTTATTCACTATCTTAGTAACTAATTTGTCAATATGACAGTTATGGATATATCAGAAAGGGTGATTATTATGGATATTATAGTCATTTTAATAGTTGAAATCATGAGTTCATTGAAGCTAGACAACCATGGAAAATCTGGAATTACTGGATGACTGTTTCGTCCTATTGTGAGAATCCTCAACAATGCACATCCACGATATCGCCTCACGAGATTTGAACACAACACCTATCAGTCTCGCGCGCGAATGCTTAATTTCTAGACTACTTAGCCGACCGGTAACCAACACTGTTAATGTCTAACTTCAATTAATCCATCAAATTGAGCAACATATCCATCATGGTTTTCAGTGAATCACTATCTCACAACAGACCCGGTTATGTATAACAAATATGAAACTATTACAATTATAATCAGAGAAAGATTTTCGTGGATATTATAGTAATTTAAATGTTGAATTCATGAGTTAATTGAAGCTAGACCACCATGTGAAATCTGTGTTCAGGTTCCGAGTATGCGATCGTGGATGCACACTGACGAGGAGTCCCACGATAGAACGTTTTGAATGATGGTCAAGCTTCAATTGACTCATGAACTCAATTGCTATAATACAGTTACATTATATGACTGAATATTACAATTATGTTTATCAAATATGAAGAAACTATTTTGTTGATTAGATTTTGTGAGATTTTGTTTGTTTTGACGTATTACAGATTGAGACCTATTGGGATCCAATCAAAATAAAATGTCTTTAGAAGCGAAAAATGCTTCTTTCAATCAGTATTCAGTTTAAATTACTTAATGAGTTCTAGGAAAAATGATGGTTTATTGATTATATCTCGATTTGATTATTATCAATGGTGTTTTTAATGTCAACGTACTTCCAAGTTATATGAATATCAATAAATATACAACGTTTTCTGTGCTTATATCAATCTTGTAAGTGAAACTTTTCTTTTGGTTTATACCTCTTATCATCTGTTCTGAAATCGTATTGTTTGAGATTTACTAAGTGATAGGAAACAGTTAGAAAGTCACTGATAACTACTAAAAAATAAGAAGACATGCATTGATTGTTAGTATTGTCTGTGTTTGATGCCACTGTCGATTGATTAGGTCTGGAGCTTAACATAATGTTTAAAACGGGAATGACAAATCGATTAATATGACCATCAAACAAACTTAACTAAGATATTGAAGATATATGTCTTACACTGTCAATCATCGATAATCATGATATGCTATTTGACTCACCAAAACTTCTGTTAAACAAACGTATGATATCAGTAACTTTTGACTGAACCGCATTCTGTGATGTAGACATTCTATATTGCGATCACAAAAATGATCACAATCTAAATATGCAAATTCGAATGTACGGTCATTGACAGTGTACATGTACAATCTAATCATGAATCAGGCTCGAAATCTTCAAACTTCTTGAAGAAATTCTAGACTTCATACTACTGAATTTATACTTGTAACTTTAGTCATGTTGTGATATTTGGTATGATACAAATATCCCTAGTGGAAGTAAGTAATGATCCAGCTAGATACGATCAACATAGTCAGAAGTATAATCACAATTGATTGATCACTGGGTGGTGATCAGTGTCATGTGTGTCAAGTCCTTCTTAGTGCAGATCGAATGCTATCGACTAAGTTGCAATGTGGCCACTAGTCTACGTAACTCGACATTATGTGAACTATGTTGAGATAAGATGATGGTTAAAGGTAGTGAACAGGAGGTCAGTCGAGGCCTGGATAGCTCAGTGGTAACGTCTCTAACTGTGAAGATGGGTGACAAAGGATCGAATCCCTCAGGGAGGATCAGTTCCCTCAAGATTAAAGTTACATCTTGCTGACGAGTGTCAAGTAGCACGAAACCTGGGTCCAGGGTTTCCTGTTGACTATCTCCAACCAACATCTAACTCAGAAGTGTCCACACCTCCTATGAACTGATGATAAATTTCTCTTTGACTGGGCAACTGTGAAATCTGATATCCCAACCTAAGGAAAATTATTCGTCTTGCATTCTAACATTAATTGCAACTGATCAATGTGTTATTATTTATGCAAACAGATTTAATACAGAAGATTAATTAACCAGTAGGATGGTTGAGAAATTTTGAACCTTGTTGATCCGTATATTTAAAAGTACAATTTTAGTTGAGGAATTTTCGATAGACGAATACTCTTTACCATTTGGTTTGCATAATAACTTACATTATAATAGTTATTTGCTAATAGTAAACTTTAAGTATATCAAAAATACAACAGGTATCATCATTTATTATCAATATTGATCTTTGAGTTTACTAGCAAAGGAGACCTAAAATTATTGATTTAAATCTCTTATGGAGTTATAGGTGTACACTGATTAAGAGTACTAAATAAGGAAAAATGTACTCTAATAATTACACTATTTATTAACTTATACCTACTTAATGGAATAAATAAGCAACGTAGGTATTATTTGAAATCAATAAATATGTTTAGTTATTATTGTAAAACCAATAATCCCGCGAGTGGAATACAGTGTGATACACACTGCTGAAGAGTCTAACAATAGGATGAAACAGCCATCTAGTACTGTCAAGTTTTCAATGATGATCTTACATCAATCAATTCATGATCTCAATCAATAAAAAAAACAAATGATTTGTACTTTCGAATAAACAGAAAAGAAAACTTAATTGAATGCAGAAACATAAAAACCTCTAAAAATCGATTGGTTAAAATTAGACATTAACACCGTTGGATGCCGATTGGTTCAGTGGTCTAAAGGTTAAGTGTCCATGCACAAGACTAAATGCCTTGGGTTCAAATCCCGCGAGCCGAGTCATGGATGCGCACAGCCACTGAGGCGCCCCATAATAGGATGAAACGGTCGTCCAATGGTTCCAGGTTTTCAATGATGATCTAACATCAATCGGTTCATGATCTCAATCAAAATATCGATTAAGTAAATTATGGAAAAATATTTTTTTTGTTTAAAAAAGATCACATTTAAATAGATAAGAAAGATTTGTTTCCTATCAATTGACATTAGTAACAAGTCATTGAATAATTTATCTTTTAATTTTTCTTTAGTATCTAAGTGTTTTTTTAAAATATAAAATATCATTGGTCATTGACTGTTGCTCATGATGGAACGAAATAGATTGCACACACACACACGCATACATATACATACACACAAACACACACACGCATACACAAACAATTCACTTAGATACTATCATTTAAATTTTCTTCTTTTTTTTACAGTTTATGATTAAGAAAAAACAAAGTCAAATATTTTATTCATTTTATATGGTAATGTTCAGTAGTCACGTAAGAAAATGAGGTTTTAATGCTGTGAAACATGATGGAGTTTGTATGTTTATTTTTTTCTTCTATGAATTCACCTAAACTAGATTAATTTAATGATATGAATAAATAATTGATTTCTTCATAAATCTTATGAAGTGGGGTCGTGGATACGTACTGCCACTGAGGAGTCCCATACTAGGATGAAACGGCCGTCCAATGCTTTCAGGTTTTCTTTGTCGGTCTAACTTCAATTGACTCATGATCCCCTTCTGATATTAATGATAGATGGTTAGAAATAGTACAAAACAATTACATATTAATTTCAACAGTTGATATTATTAGTCAATTGAAATTAGATCATAATGCAAAACGTAGAAACACTGGACGACTGTTACATCCTATTGTGAGACTCTTCATTAGTGCACATCCACAATCAAATCTTGAGAGATTTGAACCCAGAACCTATTAGTCTTGCAGTAAATAGGCACATAGTCAATTCGAAATCTCAGTAACTGGAACTTAAGGGAATCCAAAGTTTCACTCAACAATTTGATCGACGTTAATTGTGATATTTGATTACATTTTGCTGTAAAAGCTTAAGACAGATTGTCAATTGAATTGTTGAAGTTACTTAAAGAATAAAAACATCTTACTTACTTGTTTTATACTCTACATAGAGACATTTTTTAAGTAAAGTTTAATGAATTCGATGTTAAAATTCTTATAATTTATGGTTTAATGCCCTATTATTATAAATAACGTAGTGATTTATTAACCGAAGCAATGATGCGAAAACCCGTACGAACAGTCTAAAATTTTTATCGGTCCTAATTCCCGTCTAGCCCTGCCGGCTGAATGTAGAACATCAATCTCAGCCTCTGCGATATGAATCATGCATTTTAAACAAATTAGCTTTATATATAAACCAAACAGACTACATCATACCATAAAATAGAAAATACACATTTGTAAAACTGCTAGCCAAAAGTGGTTGTGAATGTGGAAGATTGTAATTAAGAGACTGCTCATAACTCAAGAATAGTAAATCAAATAATAATAATCTATCGGTCACAATAAAGCTTATAATAAGAGGAACATGAATATGCATAATTCAGTTAACTAATAATTATACAATAATAACATACGCATCGTACTGGTTTACAAATAGTTTTGAAATGTTACCATTCATAATTCTCGTCGGGATATAACAAGATTACTACTAGTACTACTACTGTGGTAATCTTCTTAACCTTCTGCCTCCAGACATTTCTTTCGATTGGTGGTACATGCTACTTATATATGTTGACATCAGTAGACACGCACCACACTACTACTACTACTATGACGACGACGACGACTACTACTGTGGTGTGAGCTACTCATATCCACATAAGTAGTACACAACAATAGTCAGGTATAGAATGTAATTCAGTAGAAGATCGGGCAAGAAATAACAGAAAAAGAAAGTAATTCGTATGAAAATACAAGGAAAATGGAATCTGAAACGATAGACTATCACAATAAAGCTTATAATAAGGGGAACATGAATAAGCATAGTTTACGTATTTAAATATTATGCAATAAATACGATATGTATCGTATTAGTCTATAAATAGATCCCACTAGTTACCATCCATTATTCTTATCAGATTAGATCAAAACTATGAAGGATCAATAAATGTATTTTATTATTATTTTTATTATTATTATCATATGATTACTTTTATATTCTTATAATAATGATAATCATAAGTATTAGAAGAGATAACCTTCAAAGGACCGTTGAATAGGATCAGTTCAACATGATTAATGATAGCGATTCTTTTTTCTTTCTTTCTTTCTTTCTTTCTTTCTTTCTTCCTTTTTTATTATTTATCGTTTTGATCTATTTTATGAATTATGCATACATATATATGACATTTACTAATATGTTAAAACAATAGAATGATATATATATATCTATATGTATCTATATCATTCTATTCTATGACATCATAAATGTTCATATCATGTTATTATTATAAAGGACTCAAATGATCATAATTGTTTCACTAATGCAACTAATAATTCACATGCTGATATCATATTGGTAAATATGATAGCAATGAATACAAACACTTTCAATGCATAAATCATCTCATTTCCATTAGGAATATGTAATATACTAATTTGAAGTTACATATATATATATATATATAAGTACACAAGTACATTCTTAATTACACAAATTACAACTATGCATAGTTACATAGAAACTGGGGAGAGAAAAAAATAGAGAAAAGAAAGAAAAAGAAAGAAAAAAAGAAAACGCCAATAAATTTAATGATGATGATGATGATGATGATAATAATGATAACAATAATGTTCATCTATAAAAGTTTTTCTTCTCTTTCGAAATTCATTTATTACCGCTTGGTAAAATTGTCAATGTTCTTCTTATAATTGGCTTTAATATACAATTTATTTATATAAATATATTTATGTTAGTTGTAATGTGTAATTTACATTTGGTTTCTTCGGTATACGTGTGGCTATGTATGTATGTATGTATATATGTATGTAGGTAGGTAGTTAGGCGGGTAGGAAGGGAGGGAAGTGGGTAGTTAGTTAGGTAGGTAGGTAGGTAACATTCTCTCCTCCTTAACATGTTTTTTTACTCTTTACAATAGTTACTAATTGATTTTAAGTGAATTCAACAAGAATATTAATATTGGCATGTTTTTTTGTCTTGTTCATTTATTCGAATTAATTTCTAATGAGATATTAAGGTGACAGAATACAAAAAGGGAAAGAAAGAAAGAAAGAAAGAAATAATCATCTGATATGAATATTCATCGGTGCGTGTGTGCGTGTGTGCGCGTATGTGTTCATACCTACAATGTAATTGATTTTGTGTAATTGATTTTGATAAAACAATTTTTGTATTAAAAATAAGTTTCTTCTTTTTTTCTTCTTCAAAAACTCTTCTATATAGTTGCTATGGTTTTATCTTGAATAAATATAGTACCA